TTAAAGTAACTAAAAAGCAAAAAGGTGTTTATGTATGACAGAGTTTAGATAGTAAACATCTGTATGTAGGTCATTCTATTAATTTATATAATAGAATAAGTTCTTATTTTATGCCATCTATACTTAAGACTAAAGCACGTAGAGTCTTACGTTATTTAAATAAACATGGTTTTAGTAATATGAAGTTAACTATTTATATTATGGATGAGAATTCTAGTTTAGAACAAGTAGTAGAATTAGAACAACATTTTATTGATAGTTTAAAACCAAACCTTAATGTAGATTTAGTAGCTAGTAGTTATGGATATCATGAACCGATGAGTCTAGAAATACGAGAAAGATTACGTAAACAAAGAGGTGTTCCAGTATATATCTATAATGCTGATGACTTTACATTATTATATGTTTTTGAGTCAAAACAACATATGTATGATTCAATAAATATTCATCATAATAGTTTAAACGATTGTTTAAATTTAGGAACCTTATATCTAGACACTTTCTTTTTTTCTTTAGATTTAATTGAGGAATCTACTAAAACTAATATACTCACTTTAGATGAGATTAAAAGTTTAGTTAGCGATAAACGAGATAAATATCTCGTTAAACATCCTGCAGCTAAATCTATTTTAGCTGAGTTTAAAGACGATTCAAGTAAAAATCTAGTATTTCATTCATTGAATAGTTTAGCTAACCACCTAAAAGGTGACCGTCAAGTTATTAGAGAATACCTAAAAGGAAACAAATTAGGTTATTATCGAGGTAAATGAAAATTTACTTACAAAGATTAAAAATATTATATATAAAAAAAAAGGCATGGCCGGGTATGGTAGAAATATCTTACTTTCTTTTCGCTGTATGCTGGAATCCCTTTAGAGCTTTTGGAACTAGTACTGCAGACTTTATTTTAGTATAAAAGCGGCAGAATACAGTAACATTTCAAAGGATTAGGCAATCAGCCGGAAACCAAAAATAAAAGGGCTCATTGTAGCATTAAACACTTTTATTTAGTAGGATCCTCAGAGACTACACGCGAAATACCTTAGTAAATATTATATATTTAAAGGTAAAGATATAGTCCAAACATTAATGAAAATTAATGATAAATGTATGCCTGCTTTAATCGGAGGATTTGGTAAAATCAATATGAATACAATAAAAAGATACTTTAGTGTAGAAACAGAGTCAAATGTAGAAGCAGAGTCAGTATTAAGATCAAAATTAGGGCCATACCTGGCGGGGTTAATAGAAGCTGATGGATCAATTGCAGTACATAATAAAGATTCTAATGCTAAAAAATATCGTCCTAA